AATCGTTGTTATATTTTAATAACTAACGTTTTATAATTACGTTTTTACTGCAGCATTTATCTGTATTTTTAATAACGTTTTTATATCAATACGTATCGCATAACGCGTCTATTAAAACGTTTTTATGTCAATGTATTTATTTTTTAAATACGTTTAATTATAACATTCTTGTCACAGCATTTTTATTAGTGTTTTTGTTTTTCTTATTCCCATCTCTATACTCCATCTTTATTACAGATTTACATTAAATCGACAGCCTTTCGATCACAACGTTTTCATTACGTCTTTCTGGCAATTTTTTTTTATCACAAACAATTTTATCACAGCGTCTTTACTACAGCTTTTTACACAAAAAAGGTTTTATCACGACTTTTTCCCTCCGTCTTCATCACATTGTGTTCACCCCAACGTTTCCATAACGATGTTTTTTAATTCCAACGTTTCCACTCGAACGTTTTCGCCCCAATATTCCTACACCAACGTTTTTTTTCTCTTTCTTTCTTTCTTTTCTCTTTCTTTCTTTTCTTTCTTTCTCTCTCTCTTTCTTTCTTTTTTTCTTTAATTTCTTTCTTTTCTTTCATTTCTTTCTCTCTTTCTTTATTTATTTATTTATTTTCTTTCATTTCTTTCTCTCTTTCTTTCTTTCTATCTTTCTCTCTTTCTTTCTCTCTCTCTCTCTCTCTCTCTCTCTCTCTCTCTCTCTCTCTCTCTCTCTCTCTCTCTCTCTCTCTCTCTCTCTCTCTTCCTTCCTTCCTTTCTCTTTCTCTCTCTTATTAATTTCCCCCTCCCTTCCCCCCTTTCCCCCCTTTTTCCCACGCCCCCACCCCCCTCCCCACCCACACACACCCCAACTCACCTGCGCGAAAGCCGTCAGGACCACAGGAACCACGCCGGCAGTTAAGATCCCCGTCAGGTTGAAGATGTGAACGAGACGCCACAGCTGGAGGGGAGCTAAGTCCTCGAGGTTAAGCCTGTTGCCCACTCTGACCAGCCCGACGCCCACGCCAGCACACCCGGCCGCCACGCCCACCAGCACGCCCGCGGAATCCAGCCCGATTGTGGCCATGAGGATCACAGCTGTTACCACTAGGAGGCTGCCTTTTGGGGGAGAGAGAGAGATTGGGGTTTAGTGGCGAGTGGTTTGGGGTTTCGGTGAATGGGGGGAATGGGAATGGGAATGGGAATGAGTGTGGTGGGAATGGGAATGATGGTGTTGGGAGTGGGAATGGGAATGATGGTGTTGGGAGTGGGAATGGGAATGGGAATGAGTGATGGTGATGGGAATGGGAATGGTGATGGTGATGGGAGTGGGAATGGGAATGATGGTGATGGGAATGGGAATACCAGTGGGAATGGGAATGGCACTAGTAATAGTAATAGTAATAGTGAGGGTAATAGTAACAGTAATGGTAATGGTAATGATAATGGTTCTGGTGATGATAAGAACACAGAAGAAAACAGTACTACCTCTAATTAACATAATAACAAGAAATGCCATTATTACATCAGCTGCAGCCATAACAATAATGGTAATAATAACGATAATCCATTATATCACATTCACGAAAATAATAAATATAACACTAATAATAACAATAATGCAATTAACTTACAACAGCTACCACTACAACTACTACTACAACTACTACTACTATTACTACTACTACAACTACTACTACAACTACTATTACAACTACAACTACAACAACTAATACTACTACTAATACTAATACTACTAATACTAATACTACTAATACTAATACTACTACCACAACTACTACTACTATTACTGCTACTAAAGTTCATGGTGAAAATAACACACATATACAGTTATCATTATGATAAGTGTTATCATTGTGATAAACATTTTGTAATTAGCATATTCTTATCATACAGGGCCTACCTCAAGTGTTATGTAACAATTTACGATATCTGTCTATCTGTCTGTCTGTCTTGTTAGTTACCTTGTTGTTGATTTACGTAAAATATATGTAGTCTTGGGCAATGATCAAGAATGTCATTATCATCATCAGTAATATCCCTAAAAATAAGAATAACAGCAATAGTAACAACAATTACAAAAGAAATTATTACTACTACTACGACTGATACTACTAAGAATAACAATGACAATAACAATAACAATAACAATATCAATAACAATAAATATAACAGAAACAATAACAACAATAATAATAATAATAATAATAATAATAAATGATAAGATAATAATAATAATAACAACAGCAACACAACAACAACAACAAACAACTTCCCCCACAAATCGCGAAGACAATGAACAAATTCCTCCCCCCCCCCCCCAAAAAAAAAAAGAAAAAAAAGAAAATCACGCAATCTCGCTTATCTCGTCTGTCTAAAATTCGTTCCATTTTTTCACTCCCTGGCGTTCACGAACCCATCCCTCGGCATTTATCACAAACATGTTAATTAGTGTATTTCTCCCTCCCCCCCCCCTCTACTTATCAATCATAACTGTGGTAATTAAAACGTCATTAAACGACATGAATTGTCATTTCATAAGTTCTCGTTTATCAGTGTTTAATTGATGTCATTAAAGGTATTTGGCTTTATTACCCTGGTTTATTGGTAATTATCGGCAATGCTGTTATCTGTAATTTCAAAGTTTTGATTAAGGAAGCTTTAGTAGATGGGCCTTCTGGTAATTATATCAACAACATCAATATTACTGTTGTTATTATCTTCTGTTCTTGTTGGTGTTCATACTATTGTTATTATGTCTTATTATTATGTTCAATCATTATCATCGTCATTATTATCATCGTCATTATAGGTATCATCGTTGTTATTATTATTATTCATTATCATTATTTTCATTGTCATTTTTATGACCATCATCATCATTGTCATTATTAATACTATAATCATTATCATCACCATTACCATCATTAGCATTATTATTAGCATTATTACTACTATTACTATTATTATTATAATTATATCATAATTATCACTATTATCATTCTTCACTATCATTACAAAGAATTATCACATTATCACTATCTCCAATTGTTATCATCATTTTTATGATCATTAACCGCCTTATCATTATCATCATTACCATTATCACTACTGTTTCGGAAAGGAGAGAGAGAGAGAGAGAGAGAGAGAGAGAGAGAGAGAGAGAGAGAGAGAGAGAGAGAGAGAGAGAGAGAGAGAGAGAGAGAGAGAAACAAACAAACAAACAGACAAACAAAAATCCAGTTTAAAAAATACCACCCCCCCCCTTCCAAAAAAAAAAAAAACATCAAACTCGCACGAACTTCAAAATCTTTTTTTAGCATAACACCAAAAAAAAAACGCAGGAAAAGACGAACAAAAGGGGGAGGTTTACGCTGTTCATCATCATTATAATCGCCAAAGCCAACCAGGAAGTTGCGTCGAGATGCCCTTTTCATTATTTACGTTAAGTTAGGGAGATCGAAGTTTGCTGGCGTTAAGGTGCCAAGCGGTGCCATTCTCGGAGGGGGAGAGGTTTCCAGAGGTCGCGGGAGAAATTAATTAAATAGGTAGATAGATGGATAGAGAGAGGGAGAGAGACAGACAGACAGGGAAAGGGAAAGAGAAAGAAAAACAGAGAGAAAGAAAAACAGAAAAAAGTTAGAGATAGATAGATAGATAGATAGATAGATAGATATAGATAGATATTGAGAGAAAGATAGATAGATAGATAGATAGATAGATAGATTGATAGATTGATAGATATTGAGAGAAAGATAGATAGAAAGATATTGAGAGAGAGAGAGAGAGAGAGAAAGAGAGAGAGGCAGAGAGAGACAGAGAGACAAACAGACAAACAGACAAACAGACAAACAGACAGGCAGACAGACAGACAGACAGGCAGAGACAGAAACAGAGCCAGAGACACAGAGACAGACAGAGAGCTTATAATCATGATCAAAATTAAGCTTATTACGTCGAGCTGAACCCAGGCCGAAGGATTATAGCATTTCAGACAAACCCCCTGACTAGCCTTGCAATTGCAGGCAGGCTTCAAGCAGGTAATACTGAAGCAACATTTGATTAATGCTGAAACCAAGCTGAAACAAGTAATAAGGAAGCCGTGTTGAACTAATACTGAAGCGATGCTGAAATAACACTGAAGCCATGTTGAAGCAAGTAATAATGAAGCTATACTGAATCAAGAAATGCTAAAGCAAATATTGAAGCAATACTGAAGCAAGCACTACTGAAGCAACCAATACTGAAGCAAGAAACACTGATGCAACTAATACTGAAACAACTAATATTGAGGCATATCGAAGTAATATTGGACACAAATACAGATACAATAAAACAAGTAATACTGGAGAGCAAAAGTGAAGCAACATTGAAGCAAGAATGATATGGTAATGAAGCAAGATCTGCATTTCCTCATTTTTTCTTTATCTTTTTCTTTTTCTTTTTCTTTTTCTTTTTCTTTTTCTTTTTCTTTTTTTTATCTTTATCTTTATCTTTATCTTTATCTTTATTTTTTTCTTTTTCTTTTTTTCTTTTCTTTTCTTTTCTATAAGACAATAACAAGCTAACCAATAAGACAGATAGATAGATAGATAGATAGATAGATATTGAGAGAGAGAGAGAGAGAAAGAAAGAGAGAGAGAGAGAGAGAGAGAAAGAGAGAGAGAGAGAGAGAGAGAGAGAGAGAGAGAGAGAGAGAGAGAGAGAGAGAGAGAGAGAGAGAGAGAGAGAGAGAGAGAGAGAGAGAGAGAGAGAGATACATGCACAGACAGACATATAACGTAATTTGCTATATCCTTTTTTAGTTAGGTCCTGCATAATAAGAAAATACTATCTTATTCTTAATAAAATTATACATTTCAAGTACCCGTCGCTTTCATTAATTTTAATTTGCGCATTAAGAGACATAGAGACATAGAGACAGAGGCAGAGAGGTAGACAGATAGACAGACAGACATGCAGAGAAACAGACAGACAGAGACAGAGAGGTAGACGGACAG